TGCAAATGGATACCGAGTATGTGCAATTCTTAAAAACGCGACAAGCAGTGCATGATTCTGCACTTCCCCCTTATTTTTACTTCTTTCTTGATTTCAGCGGCCACGGCTTCCTTAATTTTCTTTGCTGCACTATTTGAGGCAACAATCTTCTTGAGAGGCATAGTGAAATAATTTATTAAAGATTTTCACGCTAAATGTAATTAACTCACAAGCGAACAAACACGTACATCAAAGAAAACTGAGTGATCTGACAAGGGGATATCCCGAGTCGGACCGGATCGGGAAATGGCGCCACGCATACCATCAACCTGGCTCATTATTCGAGTCAATGCTCGTATTTAGAGACTAATTTTCCGATCATACTTTCCTCTTATTTCGAATTTCTCGTATATAGAGATACTCGTATGTCGAAGTTTCACTGTTTATTGTTTATTTTAAAATTTGGATAATTTGTTAATCAACCGAAAATGAAACAGTCCCCAAGTAATGAGATTTACAGCCAAATATGGATAAGCGTGACGTAATAACACATTCAAAACATCTGCCCCTTCATTTGATGTAACCCCCACCCGATTGATTCTTGATAAGCAACTTTTTGTTTTTATAAATGAAGATGTAAACTAGCTGTTGTTGTATACTTTTTCCGTGCATTAAAAAAAAAAAAAAAAAGTGGGGACTGTGTTCTACAGACAAGCGGTAGATTATTTTCCAAGTTATGGGATCCAACCGTCAAAAAAGTGTGTATTAATGAGAGAAGTATGATAGGCTGAATATGGCCGACAAAAAGTTGTTTGTCACTCACAGCGCCCTCAGCAGAACTTCCAGTAAAATCGCAGGACTTAACAAAATAGCAGAAATCGACGAAATCCTTTTCATGAAGCACAAAAACGAAGCAATCTGAAAACTGATCGTTTACTAAATAATGAGGGTCAGTTCCTAATAAAAAAAATAAAAAAATTAGTGGGGCAGCTTCGGCCGCATTTGAGCCAGCTTTCACCGTTCGATTGTACCTACGTTTCACGGTCGACGGGATAATGCCGTTAAGTACCAAATTTTAATATTTTTGTTTTCTACACAGATGTTTACTAGCAATTAACTCATTCTATTTACGGTGAGACTCACCAGCGCAGAGCGGCAAAATCGCTGAACAGTGTTAGTTCGGTCCAGGGTTCAAGAAAATCCTCCATGAAGGCATCCCTCCCTTCAACAGAAAGCCTTCCAATGCTTTCCCACACTTAAATAAACTAAACGCATTCACTGCGTATTGGTCATATAAGTATAGTATAAAAAAAAATTCCGTATAAACAGTCAAATGTTTACATTTCTTTCAAACAAGTTTTATTATTATTTTCACTGTTTTTTACATCTCAACTTTTATTTTACACAGAGTTTTTAAGTTATTGTTTTTATTATTATTATTATTTATTTTATTTTTTTTAGAAAATGTTATGAACAATGTCATTTAGAAAATGTTATGAACAATGTCGTACATAAATAATAAGTTAAAAATTCCCACAGTTTAAAATATAATTTACTTTTGTAAATAGGTCTAAGCTTAGAAATCTGATTGATTAAGACAACATAGTGATAAATCTGAGCAAAGTGCTAGGTTTTTATACAATTAAATGATAATAGTATTAAATGGCATGAAATATCACATAAAAGTTAATTTTCAGAAATGTGTAATTAAACTAAAATTTAATATGAATTTAAATCTTTGAATTATTAATTAAAGGTGGAATTAATAACTATTGTATTAATGTATTTCTAATGGTGCATTTTATGTGCCATGCTCATTTGTGTAAAATTTTTAATGTGCCTGCCTGAGGGTTAATTATTATTTAGATGAGAGGAGGCATCCAACAAAATAATTCGTTAAAAATATCATTAATACATATTCCAATGAATATAAAATAAAATACACTCAAGGTATCTTTTCCTTTTTTATTCTATACACTAAATAGAAACATTTCAAAATTTACACTGGCTGCATTCTTTAGGTAATTAGAATGCAAAATGGAAAGTGAAAACAGCAAACATATTTTTTGTTTTTCTATAAAAACTTTTGTTATCTTCTTTATAAATAAGAGTAGTGTACATATAGCACAGCAATGCTTTTCTAAAATATTACAGGCAGTATTCTTCGCTTTACTCACTGAAGTGAATATGCACAGTTTCAACAGCACTAACATTCAGACCATGACATCAGAGGCAGTTTTATGCACAATTCAATGCATTCAAAAAATAAGACAGCACTCAACATGCTTGTCGGAAGTCACATTAAGGATTAGTATCACAAAAAATAAACTTAGAAACTTTCTGAGTAATGACAAGGTACAAACATTCTGCACTGCATTTACATAATTTCAAGAAATTATAATCAACATTTTATAGTTTTCTTTTTGAATCACAACTGATATCAAAAATAAGATGCTACATTGTTTATTAGGCCTGGAATATACAAATCTACATTTGTCCTGTATGATTGTTTAATTACATTTATGAAAAAAACGAAGTTTTATACAACATTGTTACATTTAGTTTTTCATAATCTAATATTTATTTAGATATTTAAAAAGCTCATATTATTCAAAACCATAGACACAATATGAAAGGCAGGATATCTAATGTAGGTGAAACTATAAAATAACATTCTACTATATACCTCTTTGATTAACTTTTAATTTTAAATAATTCAGGCTAATCCAGTTTTCGTTTTACTAATATTAATAAAAAAAATTTTTGGAGGTTATTTAGGTGATTATTCATTTAGTACAATTTGCTGAAAAAATTACTACAGTAACTATATAAATAATATTTTTTACAGTATTTTTCAGAATGTGCAAAAAACATTCAAACATTCATAAAGATTCCCCTAACAATTCAGTTTAATAATTAAAATGAGATCTAACCAAAAGAAAAAAAAAAAAAATACTTGTTGAATATAACAGCACTTGTACCCCAAGCATCTATGTCTGGAACAAAAGAAAAATCATGAAAAAATATCTTGAAGTAAAACACTGAAATTAATGTTATTAAATAGCAGCATTCCTTCTAATCTTTCTTCAGCTGAATGTAAAATACATCCATCTTAAACAGTGCAGCTTTGATATTTGCATCGTACAGAAATACAAATTCTGAATTATTTGCAAGTTTACTTATTTCTGTATAGTTTTAGTCTTTATGTATCTCTAATAAAACATTTTAAACTTTTTTTTTTATTATTTTTTATATTGTACCAATTTATCAAAATCAATAGAAATTATCTGGATTATCATGCACTTTTTTTTGGGGGGGGGGTGTATGGATGATTTAATTTAGGTAGAGCACATACGGATTATTTGCTTAATTTCATTCCAGTTTATACCAAGGGGCACCTGGGGGATTTACATGCATGGAAATGAAAGCATACATGCAATTTCACAGAAATCAGTACACAAGTATACAGGGTTATAAAAGAATTCTCAGAGAAGAATAAACAAACAATAATAAATGTAGCTTTAATTAGAGCTTTGATAATAGCAAAGTTAATTAAACACTTAATTTTCCTACTGGTTCACATTTACTGCCAGCCGCAACATGCACAAAATTTGAGTATTTACCATACTTAATAACCGGTGAAACTGGTAGTAAAAATAACAGATTTTGGCTTACTATTATCTTACTGAAATTTAACAGGAAAATGAAGTTCTATATCTTTTGAGAAATATACACACACACACATATATATATATGAATAATATATATTGGGTTATCTGGAAAGTTCTGCAGTTTTTCACATCAAAGTGCATTTTCTTTTAATTATTTTGTTACTGCTGATATGGAGTGATCTTAATTGAAGCAGACATTTAAACATGGTCTTTTCTGCTCATGTTGCTTAACACCTGCATGCATTGTTGTGTCATGTTTTTCCCAATATAGCGTTGAGAATGAAGAAATTTCATACTGTTATGATCTTTTATTTTAAAAAAAGGAAACCCTGCTAGTCAGATTGCTTGTATAATTTGTGCTACATATGGATAAATTTCTGTTTCTGAAGACACAGTTTGAAGGCCATTTGTTAAGTTTAAGAGTGGAAATTTAATTTCGAAGATAATATCCAATGTAAACAAGGACTTGTTACAAGAAGCTATTGCTGAATATCCATGTTACACACTTCAGGAACTATTAAACAATATAAATATTTCAAAATATACAGTATATGATCATTTGAAGAAGATTTGGTATGTAAACTGCGCCATGTATGGATACTCCAGATCTAACAGAGCAGAATATGCTTAGAGTTTTGGCATGGGGTTCTTTGCTGTCCTGGAGTTCACTTCCTTGAACAGTGTCAGCTAGCACCTTGATAACTTCTTTACAAACAAAAATCTAATAACTTTTTTTAAAAAGAGAATTTTCCAGCTGCCAAAGAGATAACAAAAAGTTCTAGAACAAAATAATGATTATGTGCTTCAATGAACTTGGAATTTTTTGTACTGCTTGATTTGTATTTATCATCTGTCGGAAAGAAATTCACAGAAATTTCTTGATGAACTAACATACAATACATGAAAAGAACAATAGTTGTATTGAAGTCTTTAAATTTGTTACATGTTAAGTTTCAATTACTGATTTGTTTTTGCTTTTACTGTAGTAATTCTTTATTGTTTTTACACACAGATATGTAGTGAATATTACTTATTTGGCAATGTGCTTATTAATTTCTTTATGTGGATGAGAGCAGGAAAAGAATATTATTAATATTTTATGAAAATATCTACACTTATCAAAGGTCTCGTCACATCCTTAATTATTTTTTTAAAACATTTTACTTAATTGTTATTTTTATGTGAAGAAAAACTATAATAAAATGAACTCAAATCATGAATTTCTATTTCAAGTACACAAATTAAAATTTACCTCTCATATCCTAAATATTAATTTATGCATCAATGACTTTCTTTCTTAAATAAACACATTTTTAGATACTTCATAATTCCTGAGTGAGAATTTCTTCTCTGAAAATAATGGTATTCCAAAGCATTATTATAAAATTTCTGTAATTTAATAAAAATATATAAACTAGAAAAATGCTAAAATCATAATTCTGTAAAATAATAATGCATTAGAGGAACTACTTAATTTTTTTTAAAAAACTTTTTTATCAATTAATTCATTTATTAGGATATTTAGAATTTTATTCTAAGAAATATTAAAATTGCATTTGTGCTATATTCACAATATATGTTTTTTCATTTCACGAAAACTGGAAATCATTTGACTGCTTTAAGGTAAAGGAAATTTGCTAATAAATTAGCATACATTTTACATTCAATGAAGTGATAATGTTCCATTAATAAGATATATAATAAATTGGTTCAGAAAGAGAACTTTTCTTAAATAAGACTAATGATCCATTGTAGCAGAGTTTCATATACTCTATTTATTAAAAAAAAAATCCTAACCTGTAAAATTGTATAGTAAATTTTACATGACTGAAGGAACACTGGACTATTTTGTAATAGGATATATTACACAGAAGAGTCCTAAACTTAATATAAGGATATCTAAAGTATTTAATTGCAGTATTGTTATTTGGGATGTTTTAGTTGCTACATTTATATATTTAAATGATTTTCATAAAAGTTCAAAATGCTCCCTAGTTATAGCAGAAAAGCTAATTTTTACCCCAAAATTTTCAGAAAAGTATGGAAGTGATAAATGGCAATTAAAATTAATGAAAAGATTTCTTAAGATATTTTGAGATTATTTTGCATTTGTTGAAGGGTAATGTAAATAAATAATTTTCTCTTATCCAGTTTTGCTTCCTTCAATTTATTCCTCCTCTTTGTATTTCAATGGAATTGGTATTCTGGTTAATCTAATCAATCATACAAGAAACAATCTAAAAAAGTTACAGAATTATGATGTACATTTTAATATTCATTGTTTTCTGTTGAAATATCACAGGAAAATAAAACTATACGAACTGTTTAGAGATGAGAATATTTTCTAATTACAAATCAATCAATCATATATATAACAAATAGTAGCCTTAGGAAGCAACAAAATGAATATTTTTGTCATATTTTTATGAATATTTTCTCAATAGTTTAAATTAAAAATATGATTTATATCTTTCACAGCTGCATAAAACTATGTAGCATCAAAACAGTCTATTAGTTTCACATAGTTTTCTAAAAAATACTGTAAGCAGATATAAAATTGTCTCTTATCTGCTAAACATAAAAAACTGATAGTCTTACAGTTCTTTAAACTTCCTTTGATACATACCATTTTTTTTAACAAAATACATATAATCAATGTATAATAAAAAGTTACTATTATAATAGAAACTTAATTTTTTCCCTCATATATTCATACACTTTACGGTATTAATAATAAAAATAAATGACAATGAGAATTTAAATTTTATTTTACATAGCTTTCTTGACCATCCAAAATGAAATCGCATAACATTCTGTTAGATGTTATTACTTTTATTTATTTATTATCATTTTTTTATTCTGTTTTAAAATCCAAGTTGGTGACCTCTTGCTGCAGATGCATTGTTTTAATCTGAATGCCATTTTTAATTCAAATCTGCACATTGAATTAGTTTAAAATACAAGCACTGTAAAATGTAATTTGTACACTGAATATCTCACAATACAACATAATTGTGCTCTCTTATTCACAACTTCTTGGTAAGATGCTTTTCAAAAAATGTTTGCTTCAACTGGTGTATAAACAAATGCATTTTATAAGTTTCATCACAATATGCATTATCAACTGATATGTGCAAGCAAAAACTTCCACTGTACAAGCATGATAGGATACACAATTTAGATCAGAAAAGGGGCACAAAGTATTGCCTATTTTTCTGCACAGCAGCTGTAATATGAACTTTTTGAAGCACATTATGATTATGGGTAGTTAACAACAGCAGATTGTATGATTACGATTTCTATTTAAAGTGCTGTGCAACAAAAGATTTACAAAATGAAATACCTCAGGTTTTAACAAGATTTCCATAGTCATTATCAACACTTCGTATGGTATACTTTTTCTATTTAACATATTAAATTATACTAAACTTCAACAGTTTTATCTGTTTAATTTTCATTTTGCAAGTTTATTCATCCATTAGCATTCACAAAGATTTGTATATAAATCACATGCTGAAATATATTCCAGGTGGGTAACAATTTTTGGAGACCTGAAAAATCCATAATAAACATTTTGAAATTGTATTACATAATGAACGCAACTATCCTGAGGCTTTTCATTTCTTATCTTAGGTTAATTAATACTGTAAATAAGCAAGAGCCTGCATTGACTAAATTCTACAAAAATGCATTAATGGTTGTTATCTTGACTGGGATTCTACCTCTGAAGCAGAATGACTTGTTAAATCTCGACGTTCTTTGGAAGCATAATGCTCTCGACTATTTTCAATATTAGAATTAGATGAGGTACCCAGTTTTAGATGTAATGGTGAAGGCGTCGTACTGGTGGTAACAGGACTACCACCTTGACTGACGCAGGGAATTAATGGAGGGGGTATACCATTACCAATGCCACCTGGTGAACTAGGTTTGGTTCTTGGGGGATAGTTTGTACCACACAAACTGTTCAGAAATGGATTTGACAAAGAAGAAAATAGTCCTCCAGATGGTGGAAGTCCAGGAGGTGGAACATAAGGTGGATCATTAGGCCTCAGAGGTGGTGGGGGCAACTTTGTGCGCTCGTACACCTGCCTGTCCCTATCAGCTTGAAGCTGTCTTTCTACTTCCCTAGCAGCTGCTTCAGATGAAGACAGATGCCTAGCAAGTTCAGCTTCCCGATATCGCTCTGGAAGTAATGGCATCACAGATGATAAAGAGGCATACTTCTGCATCAACTGCTCACGGTCTAGTTCTCGAGCATGTTGCAATTCTAAACTGCGATAACGCTCACTAGCTGAAGCTGCAGATTGTGGAGGAGGTGGTGGCAAAGGATTCCAGAAGTGAGGTGGTGGAACTTGAGAAATGGCACCTAAAGAACCAGCCAGTCGAGCTTGTTCAGATGAGCTCAGACTCATAGGAAGTCCAGGAAGCATGCTTCGAGGCATATAATCACAAACAGGATCTGGATGGGATGGCTCACCAGATTTTGTCCTTTCACGATCAGAATTACCACTTGTGACCACAGATTCTTTAGAATGATCTTCTTCTTTCTTTTCCTCCTTCACTTTGATATCGGATTTGTGTCCTACACTATTGCTATCAAAGCCTCCTTCAGATTTGTGCGTTGAACGTATTGGAGACCTTGAGGAATCTCTCCTTTCTCTAGTGCGCTCCCATTCTCTTTCTCTATTCCTTTCCATCATCTCCCCATTTCTTATTGACTCAGGATTGTTTGAAAGATGAGAAACTCTGCTTTCTCGGTCCCTACAATTTAATAAAAAAAAAATCCTATTTATATATGTCACATACATATTACACAATTTAATGTACTGATGTAAGTGAAAACATGTTAAATAATGCTTTTTGATATAGTAAATGTTTATTTAAATGCTGCATACAAATACATAATAGCTCAAACAATTTTTATCTGAAAAATTTTTCATTAGAGGTAAAGTGTATTTTTCCTAAATGTAGACTCAAAAATTAGAAAACAATATTAAACAACACCATATTGTTTTAAAATTGTCAATAATATCTTTAACTCTTTGGTTAAAGATATTATTGACATAATATCTTTATTATACTATTATCATACTATGTCAAAAACGTCTTTAACCCTCTGATTACTAACGGGACATATATGTCCCACTAAAAGTTAAAAAGTTACAACTGGGTTAAAAAGTACTTAGGATCTCCTTAATGCTAGGGATCATCTTCCAATAGTTGGAAAATCAAGATGCGACTGTGCACAAATGACCATAGAAAAGAGAACAAATGTGAATTGTCCAATGAGTAATGTTGGGTTATGCAAAGAATGCTTTATCCTGTACTATACGATGTAAAATTGATTTCATATAATAAAGTTTTCCAGAATAATAGGTGTGCTTACAGTAAGTCGATCGCTTCATGTGGGATATATGTTTCCCACCATTAACTACGGCTGGGAAATATGTGTCCCAGCATTAGGCTTGCGAATCATTTGCCAAAAAAATCCCAAATGCTAAATTTACCTATTTAATGACACATTTTGTTGACTTAGGTAGAAAACGATGCAATTTTTATAAAATTCGCAGTCAAAGGGTTAAATGCAAATCGAAAGTTTTTCTCCTGGAGACCATTATTATAAAAAAGTACTTATAAATTTGATAATTTGTGCTTCTATACAATTCATTAATCATTGTTGTAAAATTTCTATGCTTATAATTCCTATTTTAAACTTTCTCCTCCTGTTCACATAAGAGCAAAATTAATACTCATCCAGATATAAATTAAGAGCTACTCTAGGATTAGATGAACAAATATGAGTTCAAACAAATATGAAGATTACCGCTTTGTACTATCTATATTATGTTTGTACATGACAGTATGTAAATATATATATATATATATATATATATATATAGAAGAAATTTACCTAGTGACATTGAAAATTAATCTAAAAAGTCACATTCTTTAACCTTCCAACACACGTGTATGCACAAAATTTACGACAAATTAAGTTTTTAATGCACATTTATCGCATATTGAAGCTGAGATGTCTGAAGGTAATTTCTATTCCTCCTTTCTACCCTTGTCCACATCATGGAATGTACCAACAGGAAGTCATTTGACTATTTTTTTTAACTGGGCTTGTGGCAGCTTTTTCATAAAAAAGTAACAACATGCGTGGTCGTGTTTTAAAATTTGGAAATTTTTTTTCTCAAATATGTTGTAATTTTGTGTTATTAATTGGTGTGTATTATTTTAATTTGAATACATTTATTCAAATTAAAAATCTCTCTCCATAATTCTAGCTCTGTAAATTTGATATCGGGTTTTCATGGCAAAAAAAATATGTGCAACCAGCTGATTTAGCTCGGATTCTTCAAGAATTATCTGATGAAGAAAAGGAAGACAAAGAAACCTTTGGATGTGAGAACAATAGCGATTTCCATTCCTTATTTTCTTTTATTTCTATTTTTTAGAAATAAAAACATTAAAGTTAGTTTAAAGTGCATTTTTGTAACCAGTAAGAAGTAAATTTCCTTGCAGAAGTAAGTAATGCTAAACTTACTTTTTTTCCTACCGAGGTGTTTTCCTTTTTTATTGTCTATACTTGTCTTCGATGAATATTAAAATTAGCTTCAATTTTAAAATATAATTTATTATAATAAATTAAAAATTTTCTATGATGAAATAAATCACTGCATTTCCATCTCACTAACATAAGAACTTAAAAATAATTTACTTATATTTGAATGTGATATCATTTTTATTTTGCAATAATAAGATTAATATTTTATATCTTAACAAATTTATTATCAATATTCACTCATTTCTGTCGTTTTTTGTGGCAAAAATGGTAAAATAACGGATGTCATAAAAAATATGATGCGCGCGTGCTGGAAGGTTAAATACATATATTTTTTATAAACAATGAAATAAATATTTTTATGGCTACAAATCTTCATACTTGAAATAAATTGCAATGATTCTTTATTAAAGATTATTATTATTATAAAGTGAATGTTTATTATTATTTGCACATAAAAGAAATTATTTGTATAATTTATTCATATTCACCGAAATATTCTTACACTTCACTCTGCATTACACTTTTATTTTGAAGTTTTTACCTATTTATTTTCAAAATCAAATTTTAAATAAATTATAATTCAGTATAACAATACATACTTCAGTATTATACAAAAAGAAAACATTTTTTGCCCAAGTGTTAAAAAGTTCATATTATCTTTTACAGTTAATTCAAAAAGTTCAAAATTTTTGATAGAAATGCAAAGGAGGCTCAATGTATACTCCTAAATTATTTGAAGCAATTACAGATAAAAGTTCATTCTTTTTCACTACATAACTTTTAAACTTTAGTTTTATTTATGCTTTATTTTGTTGCTTCCAATTTTATACTTTCATAAAGCTTCAAAAATCAAATGCTAAGGAAAAAACTTCAATCTTATCTCTTTGCTTTTGTTATATATACAAAAAACAGTAAAATTAAAATAACAACAACAAAAAGCATATTTTACAGGCTTTAAATTCAATTGAAAGTAGATAAAACATAAATACAACACAAATTTACATGATCAGTATTAAGTCTTTTGGTGATTGAATAAAAAAATATTGCCCAAAATGTATTATAATTAGAATGTGTATTATATATATATATATATATATAGTTGGAAAAAGGTAAATGCAGTAATTAAGTTTTTTACAAATGGTATTACTTTACTGAATTTCAGTTATCTGCCTCAATATTTATTTGGCAACACTTGAAACAGCATAAGTTATTCTGGCTTTCAGAATATCAATATAATGAATGAACTGCTGTGGCTAAAACTTGGTCCTTAATATGTCTTTTGTCTAACTCACCTACAATGGTGGCCAAAATTGTGGACACTTTTGGAAATTTTTATGTTTTTGATATTTGTATGCTTATAAAAAATGTTATGTTTCGCAAAGTGCAAACTTGTATATAACATTTTAAAGAGAATTTATTACTGAATTCAATACAAAACACAAAATTCAATTATTTGCAATACAAAAAAAGATATATGTACTTTAATATAAATAAAAAATCTGATGTGTACACCACATGACTTCCTTGTATTGGAATATTAAATTATACACATTTTTTCTTGCATTTCATTTAAACTTATTGGATTGAATTAAATCTACTTCGCCGACAGCACATAAACCACAATAGAATAAATGCATTCTTAAAATTCACTCTAGCATAGCGACACTCTGGCGCTAGATTCACTTAACAGTATTAATAATTATATAACAGTTAACTTATATAATAATTATCTAATGGAAACTAAGTTAACTGTTATATAATCCAATAATTATATAACAGTTAACTTATATATTTCGTTCATATTATAACTCATAATGCACAAAATTTATATCATTTAAAGAATAGAATTATCTAATCGTTGCCACATGCTCTATTCAAATACTATAATAAAGCTAGAATGATGTATAAAAGAAATTAAGCAAACAAAACAAAAAAGAAACAGTTTTTCACAGACGATTGAGTATTTCTCATTTAATTAATTCAGTTCTCACTTCGCGAGAAGGCAAAAATACATAAAAACTCAAAATATTTATATTAAAAATTACGAAGTAAATCTTAAACGCTTATTTCCACGAAAAAATTCCAGAAAGGATTAAGCATGATTTAAATAATAAATGAAGGCGTTATCTTTGTTGTTGCGTAGCTAAGTTTCTCTAGATTGGCAACAAATCTACTAGTCTCCTGTTTCAAATGTAAACATTAATGGCCGCCATTAAAAAAGGCTTAGCGGCAATTAAACAACTTTAAAATTGCTGATAATTCTAAAAATATTGCACACAGATTTACTAAAGGCATAAAAACCCTTAACTGGAAGATAAAAACAACATAATTCAATCATTTTTAAAGCAAAAAATGTACAATTTACCAACATATAAGAGTAAAGAAACTGAGATCACTAAGCCGGGTAACAGAGTGGATATATATATATAAATATATTTATATAAGTTTGGTGCGGCCTAGTGCAACCAAAATACAAGGTGCACATCTACATGTTATAGCAGTCATATATACAAAATTTCAACGTTCTGAGGCTACTCGTTTTTGAGTTATGCGAGATACCTACGTACGTACGTACATAGGTTCGTACAGACGCCACGAAAAATTCTCTTCAGAATTAATTTTAAAGCAGTTTTATAATTTTTTTTTAAAGAAGGAAAAGAGTATTTTATTCTGTCCTTACGTACAGATATCACACAAAAACATCGAATGCAATTTAATTTTCATTGAAATATGCTGCCTGAAACTTTTCGCTATTACAATACTTCCTTTTTACTTCGTACAAGGAAGTAAAAACACAGTTATGAAGTGGTTGTAATGTCTAGCTTTCCTGGCCAATCACTGTTCTTGTTCTGAGAACCAATCAAATGTTAGTAACTGCCAGTAGAAGCTGACATCATGTTTACACTTGAAACAATTAATTATTTTGCTTTGTTCTGTAGAAGGAACAAAAATTCCTATTTGTAATTGCAGTGTATAGTTATTGCAGTATCTTATACACTGCAATTACAAATAGGAATTTTTGTAACAATTTTTAATATTTAGTCAAGAAGCAATGACATCAAATAAAAGAGTAGATTGGACACCTAGAAAGAGATGTAATATTATTGTGTTACGAGAAAGTGGTCTTTCCTATGCTGAAATTGCAAGACTGGTGGGTGGTTCAGTGACTACATCTGGAGTCCGAAAGTTTTGTTTACGATATCAGGAGACAAATTCAATAAAAAACAAAGAAGGAAAAGGCCGAAAAAGGTGCCCCACATCTATTGATGACAGAAGAATAAAAAGACTATGTCTCCAAGATAGAAAAATGTAATCAGCGGCCATCAGAAGTGATCTGAATGATGCTGGTGTTTCTGTCACTTCAAGAACAATCAGGAGAAGATTAACAGATGTTGGACTGAGAGGTAGAAATCCACGAAAAAAGCCTTATCTTAATTTTCAGCAACGAAAAAAAGACTACCTTGGGCAAAGGAACACATTAATTGGACAGATGATCAGTGGTCACAAGTTATATGGAGTGATGAAACTAAGATATCGCTATTCGGTAGTGATGGGCGAAAATATGTAAGACGTAGAATAGACGTAGAAGAGCTACATCCTGACTGCATTCAAGCAACTGTGAAGAACCCAGTTAGTGTTATGATTTGGTCATGCATGTCAGCAGATGTTATTGGTCGCCTTCATATCATCGATGGGACAGTGAATGCCAGAAAATACATTGACACTATTCTAGAACCAAAACTTCTACTTCATCAAGATTCTTTCTCACAATGCTTCGTTATTTTCCAGCAGGATTTGCTCCTTGCCACATGGTTAAAATATCGAAAGAGTGGTTTCGTACAAAGAGCATTAACTTGTTGTCATGGCCAGGAACAGTCCTGACCTCAATCCTCTCGAAAATTTGTGGCACCGTTTGAAAATCTTGTCCGAATGAGGCACCCATCAAATAAAAGGGAACTATTGAGGCTATAATTGTTTCCTGGCATCATGTAATAACGAAAGAAGAGCTTAAAAATCTTGTCAGCTCAATGAAACGTCGATGTGAAGCTGTAATAAAAAATAAAGGTACCCTACTAAGTACTGATAACTCACTGCAATCATCACTATCTAATGTATATCGATAACTATTATCGTTTAACTTTTTTTGTATTGCAAATAATTGAATTTTGTGTTTTGTATTGAATTCAGTAATAAATTCTCTTTAAAATGATATATACAAGTTTGCACTTTGTGAAACGTAATGTTTTCTATAAGCATACAAACGTAACGTTTTCTATAAGCATACGTAACGTTTTCTATAAGTTCAAAAACAGAAAAATTTCCAAAAGCGTCTACAATTTTGGCCACCACTGTACATTGTCAACAATCTCATCACTCACAATAGGCCACACAAACATCTTAAACCCCAATTGATGGACTACTTAGTTTCACAGTACCACAAAATAAACTCATCTTTTTCTTACGCTGATGTCATTTCGTTACTAACTATTTCTTGGCATTTTTTGTATAATAAAAAATATATATATATATATAACAACAGGAACAGATAATGATACAATTTTCATGTTTTTATACAGGTTGTTATTTTATGAAAAAATTTTGTAATCACAAAAAGGCTTTAAATGCTCACCCTCTGTTCTAAAAATAAAAAATCACAAAAAATTTTGGTTACCTTTCTTTTTGCCTTTCATGCTCTCGTTTATTTTCTCTGGGGGGAAAAAAAAATTTTTTATAATGAAGTTTTATGATTATACACATAACAAAAAGTGAATGCACACATTATAATTTTATTAAAATTAGTACAGTCAAAAGTCGTTAATTTGGACACCCATAATCCGGACCTCAAAGCTAAAAACTTTCTGCGCATGCGCCGCGTTGGCACATGTGCACAGGCGTTTTACGCATGCGCGTAAGACCTTGACTATTGTGCATCTGCGTGTGTGCAAGTGCAGAATATGTTTTCGCCTGTGCGTTTAATGTATAACGGACGGTGTAAGCTAAACTTATCTAATTATCTATTTCACTTAATGTTAATGATTGCGTTGTTCCTTAATCTTCGAATTGGATCCCGCTTATTATTTTTTTGCAGACTGCAAGAGCAATTTTATAAAAGTAAACTTGAACTTTCGATTATGTCAAATAGAATTTCTGATGCTGGAACTTCCAAAGGATCTACAAAACGAAAGTATGTTTCGATGTCCAACAAACAAAAAGTGGAATTGCTGCAAAAAATGGATAAAGACATGAAGAATGTGACAGAGAGGTTAGTGAAAACGAAAAAATTTCTATTGACAAGTTAGTCGGTATTCTTGGCACAGCAATTAATGGGACCTGAACAGTGGAACTTTGTAACTGAACAAGAAATTATGTCTGTTTATAGAATTAAAGAGAAAGTATTATCACATAAAACGAAGCAACTTAAACAACTTACATTGAAAGAAATGTTTAATAAAGTAAACAAATAAATATTAAGTTTTTTTTTTTTTTTTTTTTTTGTAAATTTTGATACCCTTTAGATCATAATTGTTGTTTATTTCATAAATTACGGTTTCATATTTTTAATTTTAGAATTTCTGCATGCCATCTTACGAGATTTAAACTGATGATCTATAATCCGGAAAAATCGAAAATCCGGAATCGCCGAGGTCCCGACGAGTCCGGATTAACGACTTTTGACTGTATTAGAATTTTTTAATTTCATTCTGGTAGAAATCATTACTTCCGATGAAAAAAGGGGAGCATAATTACTAACCCATGACTTGTTTTAAATGTTCATTCATAAACCAGTCACAAATGTAAAAATAAAAAATATTAAAATTTAACTCTGTAATTGTGCTAAAATTAACAGATGCCACTATCAGACTTATGAGCAAACAGTACAAAGAAGTAAAAAAATTTTGTTCTGTTTTATGAAAAATGTTGTACATTACAGTATTAATACTAAATATTCTGCTTTACTTAATACAATGCTTTTTATTAAATTATACTGTCTTAAAATAAATTTTACCATAAACAGGCATTTATAATAAAATATACAGAAAAAGTCCAGGCTGCCTATTTAGCATTCAACTAACTGGAATATTTTTCAATTTTATAATATTTCCTTTCTTTTTATATAAAATTTAAGCAAAATTCTAATCAAACAAAGACTGGCGCCGAAAAGTGTGATTTAGAAGCAATAATAGATAATCACGATGTTACACTTTCTATTTATGTAAACCCCATTAAATCTCAATAAGCCAGTTTTATTTTTGCAAAAAATTATACTAGTTAACTGCCGTTTATCTGTTTTCAGTTGCATTTTGAAAAAAAAAAAAAAAAAGATTAAAATTTTGAATTTGTCTTCAACAGAACAGCATGCGGTAGAGTATTTTCAAAATAACAGGATCAAGAAAACATCAAGGAAAGAGTGACTTATGCCACAACGGATAAACGCTGGTTGTGTAACATGCAATTAAAGGTTCAATATGTTCCATCCATAACTTAAATATGTTCATTATATAACTAAATAGCGAGATTTCTGTTCCTTCAAACGTCTGCCTGAAGGACTGGTGCAAGTTTTGTGAGATATCTGCCAATATTTATGGTAGGTCAACAATAAACAGTCAAATGTCTTTAATCCAGACGTCCATAATGCGGAATGATCTATAATCCGGACCTCAAAGCTACAAACTTTCTGCGCATGCATAAACGCAGAATACCTTTATGCATGCCCATAATACATTTACGCATGCGCGTTTAATGTATAATGGTCGGTATAAGCTAAGCTAAAATTATCTAATTATCTCAGTTAATGTTGCAGATTGTTTCTTAATCTTCTAATTGGATTCGGCTTATTATTTTTTGCAGACTGTTAGAGCAATTTTATATAAGTAAGCTTTAACTTTTGATTATGTCAAAAAAGAATTTCCGATTCTGGAGCTGCCAAAGGATCTACAAAGCGATAGCATGTTTCGATGTCCATCACACAAAAAGTGAAATTGCTGCAAAAAATGGATAAAGGCATATCCTTTGTTTCGCTAACCATTCCAAAATCTGTTTATCAATTTCACGCTGCTTTGCGGGGGAGGGGGAGGAACGTTGCTGCGCACAATGAACTGGAAGTTGATCTGTCAGCACTATCCTTATCTTCAGAGCAGATGTTTTTATTTTATTTGGCTTATAATTCCTTACTAAATGCAGTATTTCATCTCGATGTACTCCGTCTTTGATATGATTTAAATCAAATTCCTTGTCATTATAAATATCACGAATACACATCAAATAGTTTTCCGTTTGCAATTTTCTAATTTCGACTATGCGTAATGTATGCTTTACGCATGCGCACATTGAAAGAAATGTTTAATAAAGTAAACAAATAACTATTACGCTTTTTTTTTGTAAATTTTGATACCCTTTAAATCATAATTGCTCTTTATTTCATAAATTACGGTTTCATATTTTTAATTTTATAATTTCTGCATGCCATTTTACGAGATTTAAATTGATGATCTATAATCCAAAAAAACCGATAATCCAGAATCGCCGAAGTCCTGATGAGTCCGGTCACAAAATCATTTCATTCAATAAACAAGTCTCTAATATTTTTCTAGTATACTTTCTCTGGGGTGCATCTAAAAAATTACTATAAAAATAAAACTCGCTTGTTCCTGATAAACATTAGTTACACAACTCTTAATCAAAAACAAAACATCATACTAAAATTTTTTGAACAAAGGGAAAAAGAAGTGAAGTATGATTTAAACAACAAGATTATGTTTATACTCCTCACTCACACAACACATTGGATGGGGAAATGTAAAGATGTTGTTTCAACATAAGTATTAAAAAAAAAAAAAGAACTATAATTTGAATCCAGAAATGGAATTTTCAGATTCCAGTGATGAAACTGAAAGAACTCAAAAAAATTATTTCCTTCTTCCTCCCCTTTTTTTAAAAAATTCTTCAAAATATTCTTAAGAAGTGAATATTATGTAATCACTCACATGCAAACAATTGTTTCGTATGATTTGGATACTTTGTTTTCATTCCTGTTCTTTTTTGATTAACTACTTTCTAAATTCACAGCATTCTATACCTATTATCTTTCATTACTGACTTACTCAGAAGATCAAAAAGAAGACCAATTAGATTCAAAAGGAAGATCAATTATGAAAATTATGTAATATATTTTGCATTTCACATATTCATAATTATTCTTTTATTAACTCCATAACTTTTAATTCATAATATCATTACAGCTTACACAATTTTCAAATATATTTTAAAACAATATAAGTTCTTTATATCCATAAGATTATGTTAAAGATTACAATTTGCAAATGTATATACAAAACTGAGTGGAACATGAATGCTAGATCTAAAATCTGAAAACCTAAAATAACAATGACCTTCACTTGAAAACTGACAGAATACTGTCAGTGCCATGAAAACAAAATCTTTTATTGGTAATATTTTTTCCTTTATTGAATTCTACTCAAAATATAGTTTCAAGGATTTTAAGAATAATGTCAATTGGGAATATACAGGGTGTCCCGTAAATGTTGCAACAAACTTCTGGGGGAGGTAGGGCACATTATAGGGATTAAGAATTGCATAGGAACCCATGCCCAGAAATGTCTGGGGTAAGTGGTAGTAGAGGTAGAAGATGGGAAAAGAAACAAGAGTGATTAATTTGAAGCATTTATTGGACATGAATACAAATGGTGTATGATAGTTTGAATGTTACAATAGATGTTAGAAGTCTGCACCATCAGAGGCCAAACATGCCTGACAAAGATGGACCATTTATTGCCAGACATGTTCAAACACACCGGGAGCATATGCGCAAGTGAGTCTTGCCACGAGATCCATTTCAGACACAACAGGATCATGATACACATCACTTTTGATGCCTTCCCACAAAAAGAAATCAAGGCTCGATAAATCCGGCAAGCATGGGGCCCAGGAAACTGGTCCACCATGCCCAAGTCATTGATGCAGGAATGATCCATACAAATGGCTAGGAACATCCAGTCTAAAATGAGTAATGACCCATAGTCAGACAAAATTTGATACAGAAATGCAAACAAACTGTGGTATGGTTGATGCCTGTCGGAGAAGCATTCCCAATAAATACATGCAGCGGTTTGCTCACTACCTTCAGCTATTCCATACACTAGTGCATGTCTGGTAAGTTCCTGGTTCATATATCATTCCATGCTCTTTGTATCATACCTACTGCTCGAATGAGGCAATCCTCACTTGTTATAATGATATGTTCTGGGAAACACTCTCCTGTATAGTACCCCCTGGTGGCATACAATGACGTTCCTGTGCATGGGTTCCAATTGCAATTCTTAATCCGTATGATGTACATTACCTCCTTCAGAAATTTGTCGCAACATTTACGGGACACACTATTTTTTAAATACATAAACTTTAATTAGTAGAAAATGTAGAGAAATATAAAACATGCTGTTTATGTAGAGAAATTTAAAATATGCTGTTTTATTAAAACCTGCATATCTAAGTCTCTTTCAATATGAAATCTGCATTTTTCTTTGCATATATTTTATTCAACACGTATATAAAATGGACATGCATAAAAAAAAATGGATAATTTATTTGTGGATTTTGTTAAGTGGTTATCTTTAGGATTATCCTAATGCCTCTAAATTTAGATCTATTATCTAGTGACAATAATCCATTTGAAAATTGAAATTATTACCTCATTATTTCTTTAGATTTCTCACTTTCTTTCTCTCTTTTTTCAGCATCTGCTTTCTTCTGTTTTTCTTTCTCTTTCTCTCGTTCCTGGTCTTCTCTCCTCTGTACACGATCCCTTTCTGCTTCAGCTTTTAAACCACCCCAAGATGAAGGGTTCATAGCAGAAGGCGAAGGAAAATTTGGTGGAGTTCTGTGAAGGCGGCTCCAAGGATCTTGACTCATTCCTAGATATCCAGGTCCTAAATCTCTGCTTGATAACATCCCTGCTCCAGTCAAGCTAGCTGCAATGAAATAAACATTGAAGTTCATAAAAAGATCTATGACTAACTGAAGTATAACAACAAATATTGTATGATAAAGTTGAACAGAATTTGAACTACATTTATAGCATTGCATCAGTTGTCAAAACAAGAATATGAAGATAAAAAATTCTCTCTCTCTTTTTTTACAGTAGTATAAACATGTTATCCATACTCTTTTACAAAGCTGTCAAAGATATTTTTCCTAAGTCTAGTTAGTGCTCTTAATAGTAGTTCCATGGGTAAAATATGAAAGCATCATATATTAAGTATGTGACTGCATCTTAATAATATAAATGGCTCTGAATTTCAGCCATGGAGAAATACAAGTAATTTTTGCTTCATTAAAAATATGACATTAGATTAAATCTGAGCAGTTTAATGATTCATATTTTTTTATTTAATAATTTAAAATAATATTTTTTTATTTTAATTTATTGTGTCAGAAATATATAAATGCTTATTAGAATTTATATATTTCTGACAGTTATAATTTTCTGTTAAAGTGGCTGCTTATTAGTATTTTTTCAAATGGCATAAATAATTGGCCTAATTAATTTTTTATTCCTATCACTAATATGTCATACTTCCAGTCCCATATTTCATACTGTACTGGTTAGTGTAAACCGATCAGATTTTTCTAAAGGAATCGCGGAACAAAACAATATCAATGACCTTACTTTTTTTTTTAAAAAAAGTTAATTCTTATTATTGTAAACATTTAATATAACTGAAAGGCTGTGTTTTTACAACTGCAAAGCTATTAGGTTATTTTAAAGCAGGAAAAGACACACACACACACCAAAAAAAAAAAAAAAAAAAAAAAAAAAAAAAAAGCAATGTTCTCATTAAAACTCGAACTCGGACCTCTCGAGCCTCATAGCCAAATGTGCTACTGTTGAACCATGAAGGCATGCATAAAATCATCACCACCATGAGGATTCAGGTGCCATTCATACAGTCCTTAAGAATTTTCATGCTGAAGATATAAAAATGTGCAGTGCCCTCATTGGGACTTGAACCCTAGACCTCTTAATATGCATTGAAGTATGCTTCCAATCACAGGAGGCAAGTGGAAAGGAGGGAGAAAATACCTTACAGGTTTACATTAATGTGGATCATTAAAATTAATATAAAAGTAATACAACATATGATTATCCTTGTCTAAAAATTAGATCATTTCTGAAAACATGCTTTTATGTACTTGAAAGAAAATTTTTACACAATTATCATACATCTATTCAGATAGCTCCATAATTAACATCATACAAGTAAATTCATTGCTTTGTGTATTATCTATGAATCAGAACTCAAGATTTGCAAACTCAAGATCTGCTTGTATAACTAATCATCAATAATAACTCAGTTAAATTTATTACAGACTTTTTCCAGCAAATTTTACAGTTACTTTTAAGTACTTTTCAGGCAACAAACATTAAAGATGGTGATTATGATCTTAATTTGTTTCACAGGTTTTCCCATAAACATTAATATAAATATTTATGTCCAAAATACTGTCCTGAATAACTCTTTTGAGAGGTTGGAGAGCTGAAGTTTGGAGAATAATATGACTATAAACTTGGGGAAAACTACTAGTCAGTATTTTACTTTAAATACACATCTTTTCACTTCTGATCTTGTTTATAGAGGTTTTCCCTTGCAGCATAATGATGTTTCAATGATGGGTTGCATCTTTGATAACAAATTGAAATGGACTATGCATGTTGAATACGTCATCTCAAAAGCCAGGGAGAGACTCACTACTCTTAAGGGACTAGCTGGTGTTAAATGGGGATGTGGCAGAGCTACCCTTAACACCATTTATAAGACTTATGTCCAGCCGGTTTTAAATTGTAGCAATGAAGTGCTGCTCTCTGCCTTGGATAGAGTCTTGGGTATGCTTGATACTTTCCAAAACCAGGTTTTACACTTGATCACTGGAGGTGTTAAAACTACTCCCGTATTTGCTATACATTTGCTTTGTGACCTACAGCAAATGACTAACCTGGTTCGGAGGAATGCAGCTATCCTTTATAATAGACTCCCAAACATTTCTTTTTGGTGTGAATACAATTTTAACAGAGTACGTAAAGACTCAGAAGGACTTCATTCAATGTGTCTAGGAGAACACTCAATATAATGTTATTAACAACAAGGCCTATGAATTGTTAACTCATATAAATCCACTGGAATTTATGGTTCTTGATGCCAGATTGGATTTGACTTTGAATGCGAGGAAAAACAACCTATGCACAACTGCTTTTCGCGCCACTGATGCCTACACTGATGGTTCCTTTTTGGATTTTACCCAGGGCACTGGTGCTGGCATCTTCTGTAATCTGTTTTCCTTTTACCTACATGTTGGCTCCCATACAACCCATTTTGATGGTGAAGTCGAGGCCATCCATTTAGCCCTTCAACAGCTTTCTGCCCGTCTCTTTCCTTTTTGATAAGGCTCGGACTCAAATTCTGTTCTTCAGGCCTTAGAAAGTAACCTAGCAAAGTGCAAAGTCCTTGTGTCCAGAGCTGCAGGGAGCTGTTGAGCAGAATTCAGACAAAGGTTGCTTTCCAGAGGGTATCATCACATTGTGGCCTTTGGGGAAATGAGATGGTGGACCTTTTGGCAAAAAAAAAAAGGGGGGGTATGGATGTTCTCCAAAGCCTTCCAGAGATCTATCTCTTCACTCTGCTAAACTGAAATAAATCGGATTTATAAAAAATCCTTCTATAATGCTGCTCTTAGTGCTACTGAAAATAGTCATGGAGGGTGCTATTAAAAGCCAACTGTCTCAGACTCTCCTCATGCTACTACTGTAGCTGAGTTTTCGACTATTGACTAGACATGACTGGTACTCATTTGTTTCGTTTTAATCTGCTTCACCCTCATGTGCTTTGTGTGATTCTGGACAAGTCATTGACACTGCTTATCTGGACGTGTGCTCTGCACTTAAGAGTTTGGACTGTATTGTAAGGAAGTATTGAAGAGCCCAATGCCTAATGACCTGATGGTCAATTGCCAGGAATTTGATAAATAATAAATAGATTTATGTCCACTATATAGCAAAAATGATTTTATATTACATTTTTAGTTATCATAGGTTAAATATCAAAAAACATTAATAACAGAATTTTAAGTCTTCAATAATATGAAAATAATTGTTTCACACTGATCTGTCTTTCACTAGGTAATAAATTACGGAACATTAAGCAATCAGTTAAAGGTCTTTGAAATAACAAGCATGGTACTTAGTTAAATGTAAAACTATCTTCAACTCAGAAATATAGTTTTAGCATTAAATGTCTTGTCACCTGCATTTATAAGATATTAAATTACTTTGCACATTTAAACAATACTAACATTGATCTGTATTCCATTAAATATTATTTGCAAAATATTGAAATCGATCAACACTAGTAAATTAAAAACATTCATTCTACATTCAGATAAAATTCAAAGCAATCATTCTTTTTTATGCCAGAAAGTCATGTATATCATCAATAATTAATTTGAAAATTTTTATATTATAATAGCATTTAATTCTTTTATAAATTTGTTCATTTGTTACAAAATAATTACCTAAGCTTCCAAGCCCACCAAAGCTATTTCCTGGTATACCTATGCCTGGATAATTTGGACGGGCAAATGGGGTTATGCCTGAAATTATAAAACATATAAAAATTGAAAAATCAATTAATTCATTCATCATATATTTATAACACTTTTATAGATCAGTATATAATAGGTATTTATTTTCTTCAAGAAAAATATTTGCATTTATTTTATTATTTTATACAAAAAGTAATTCAAAATTATATTTCGACTGAATTTTCAGAAATTTATAAAAGCAACAGTACAAAGTCTGTAATCCGGACGTCTATTATTGGGAATAATCTATAATCCAGACCTCAAAGCCACAAACTTATGCATGTGCATAAAGCGTTTACGCATGTGTGTTTGATGAAGGCATCTGCTATGCATGTGCATAAGCGTTTACCCATGTGCGCTTCCGATAGTGAAAAAAGTAACAGAGAACATTATTGAAAACGAAAAAATTTCGATTGACAAGTTAGCCGCTATTCTCGACACAGCAATTACAGGACTTGAACAGTGGAATTTTGTAACTGAACAAGAAATTATGTCTGTTTATAGAATTAAAGAAAAAGTATTAGCACAAAAAACGAAGCAACTTGAACAGCTTACATTGAAAGAAATTTATAAAGTAAACAAATAAATATTAAGCGGGTTTTTTTTTTTTTTTTTTTTTTTTTTTGTTGTAAATTTTGATACCCTTTCGATCATAATTGATCTTTATTTCATAAATTTCGGTTTCATATTTTTTTATGTATAATTTCTGCATGCCATCTTACATGCCAGATCTGCATGCAGATTTAAATTGACGATCTATAATCTGGAATCGCTGAAGTCAGGGCCGGATAAAGGACGATTGGGCCCAATCAATTCCAACGTTACCATCAAAATGAACAAAAAAATTTCCAAATTTAAAGCAAATGGCTTTTGACGATAATGGATAAATTATAAATTATTCAAATAATTAAAAATATATTTATTTTAAGTTCACATTGCAGGATGAGATTTATTAATGTGTTTATTATTAGATAATATACTTTATAGATAATATAGAAATATCTATTAAATAATATAAATAAAATCGATACCCGTAAAAGTTCATGTCAAATGTATTGAATTTAATCGTGATAGTACTATATTAGAGAGATTTTGCACTACATACATGAACTAGTTTACGTACGTAAACTACTATGCAGGTATATGCATGCGCAACTAGTTGTGCAACCGTACCAGCCAGTGGCGGATGTATAGCTAATATCAAATGCCAATTATTTCTTGCATTTGTAGTTTGCTATTCTTCTAATCGTTTATAATTATTAGAGTCATATTTTGTGGCTACAATTACTATTTGTTGAATAAAGTAAATGCTAATTATATTAAATAATCTTTATTAACAAACAATTATTTTTTTTAATTAAAAATTTAAGTATACAGTCAAAAGTCTTTAATCCGGATGTCCATAATCCGGAATGATCTATAACCTTCACACATGCGCAGAATACGCTTACGCATGTGCGTTTAATGTAAAACGCTACGCTAAAATTATGTATTTCAGTTAATGTTGCAGATTGCGTTATTCAGTATTTCATCTCGATGTACTCCGTCTTTTGATATGATTTAAATCAAATTCCTCGTCATTATAAATATCACGAATACACATCAAATAGTTTTCTGTTTGCAATTTTCTAATTTCGACTATGCGTAATGTATGCTTTACGCATGCGCACATTGAAAGAAATGTTTAATAAAGTAAACAAATAACTATTACGCTTTTTTTTTGTAAATTTTGATACCCTTTAAATCATAATTGCTCTTTATTTCATAAATTACGGTTTCATATTTTTAATTTTATAACTTCTGCATGCCATTTTACGAGATTTAAATTGATGATCTATAATCCGGAAAAACCGATAATCTAAAATCGCCGAAGTCTTGACGAGTCCGGATTAAAGACTTTTGATCATATGATGTGATTAAGAATGGATACCTAACCTATGATTTTATCATTAGATGTCGAATCCACTGAAACGAGAAAGAGAACACATGAAAATTCAAAAAATCATTTGGTAGCTATGTTAAAAAGTACAGAGCTTCAAAAAAGACTTTCTGCTCAGCAAACAATAGATAATGAGCAACAGAAGTTGTTGAAAGAAGAAAAAATTCATTTGTATAAGATATTTGAAAGGAACCTCGCAAAGAGGAGAGAGGGCCCCACAAAAAAAAAAAAAAAAAAAAAAAAAAAAAAAAAAAATCCAATTGGGGGCCCCGCACCTATTTGATCCGGGCCTGGCTGAAGTCCTGACGAGCCCGGATTATGGACTTTGTATACATATAGGACAGGTTGGAAGTACAAGATGACATAGGCAGCTGCCTGGGAAGTCCATTTTGGGAAGGCACTAGCTAAGTTGTTACATGCAATTATTATGTAAAAGTATATTTTGCTTTGAATTGCTGATGTTTTATATGGGGTATCAATTGTACTGATCACCAGGGTGCCAAAAGTTCTGAAGCCATGCCTAAATATGTATATATATCTGTTACATAATGAAGACAATATTGTTTATTTTGAAATAAGAATTTTATTATTACTATTTTTGATATTATTGTTTATTTCTCAAAAGTGTGTTTTGTTTTATTATTGTGTGAAGATTGTAACTATATTTCTTTTCTTGTGTGGCAACAACGCTTCTGTAATTCTTCAATTTGAACTTTTGGATGTGTGCCAAGTTTGATGGCGTAATGCTCTGGTGAGAGCGTCGATTGATTGTGTAGATGAAACATGTTGTTTCAGAACGTTATTTCTTTAAAATATGTAAAATAAATGTTTTGTTTTCTGAACTCGGATTATGCAAACGTTATTTAGTTTCAACATAAAAGTTTGGCGTCCGTTTGACAGGACGTTTGTGTGATTTCGAGTAGTTTTGATTTAGGCGTTTTGTTAAAATGGAGTTGTTAAAGGCAAAACGTAAAAGTGAACGTACTTCGTTTACGTTAACTACGAAGATTGTGGAAGAAGAATTGCCTACTTGTACGGATCCTGAGAGATTGCAAGTGTTGTTGGGGCAACTAATTGACAAATTTGAACGCTTGGACAGTACTCAAAGCAGTGTTTTAGAACAAACCAAGGAAGCTGATTTTGAAATGAATGAATTTAATACGGCTGAAGGATACAGAGATTCCTTTATAGCTTTAAAGGTGAAACTTCAGAATAAAATTGGACAATTGAATTCGATGAATGTTACTACAGATATTGCTTCAGTTTCGATTTCGGATCCTAAAGAAAATAAAAACAGGAAGTTCAAACTTCCTAAACTTGAACTGAAAAAATTTTCTGGAGATGCAAGAGAATTTTTAGGCTTTTGGAGCCAATTCTCCAAAATTCATGAAGATGCGGATATTGTGCCGGAAGATAAATTTTTGTACTTAGTGCAAAGTGCAGTACCTGGCTCAAAGGCAGCTCAACTTTTGAACAGTTTTCCTGTTACCGCCGCGAATTATCCTAAAGCTATCGAGCAGCTGAAAGAAAGATTTGGTAGAGAAGACCTTCTGGTGCAGATCTATGTAAGAGATTTGCTTGGGCTTGTTACAAAAGAATGCTACAACAGGCAGAACGGCGTCGGACTTAGGAGTACTTTATGATAGTATAGAAAGTAAATTACGAGCGCTGGAAAGCTTAGGACGCACCAAGGAAAAGTTTGCTGATTTCTTGGGACCTTTAGTGGAGTCGTGCCTACCTGAGAATATTCTACGTGCCTGGGAGCGGAGTCGAACTTCTGAACAGGGACAGGAAAAGAGTTCTGAAAGAACGCTTGAAAAACTAATGTGTTTTTTAAGGCATGAAGTAGAATCGGAAGAAATGATTAGATTAGCACAATCAGGATTTACTCATTCTGTTAAGCGTCTTAATAAAAATGTTATTTCAGGTAATTCAGATTTAGCAACAGCTGCCGCGCTGGTAAGTACAAATGAAACCAGTAAAGGTAAGCAAAATGTTTGTATATTTTGTGGTAAGCCTCATATGAGTGCTAAGTGTTTTAAAGCTGAAAATATGAGCTTAAATGAAAAGAGGCAACTTGTACAAAAGAAAGGTGTTTGTTTTTCATGTTTAAGAATTGGCCATTTAAAAAACCAATGTAAAGCCAATATTAAATGCCCCATTTGCAGTTGTGATCATATAAAATTTATGTGTCCTCAGAATGTTAGTTCTGTAAAACAAAATGACTCTAAGTTGGATGTTTCCCTTTCTAATAATAGTAAGAGCGAGAAAGTTTATTTGCAAACTTTATGTGTTCTAATTAAAGTTAAAGATCGAGAGAGAAAAATTAGGATTCTCTTGGATTCGGGATCCCAACGATCATACGTTGGGGAGAAAATTATGAAGCGAATGAAGGCTGATCCTATTCGACAGGAGAAAGTAATTCATGGTTTGTTTGGGGGGAGGGAAACTGCGCCTGTAACCCATTCTGTTTTTGCTATTGACATAAGCAGTTTAGATAACACTTTTAGGTGTTGTTTTGAAGCTTTTTCTGAAAAAAAGATATGTGGATTTGTTCCAACAATCAAGAATGCTCAGATTATAGAGGAATTGAAAAGCAGGAAAATTGAGGTCAGTGACACATTTTGCGAGGAAAGTGAAATTGATTTATTGATAGGTGCAGATGTCATTGGTAAACTGTTAACTGACGAATACCTAGAATTACCCTCTGGTTTAACTGCAGTCAAAACAAAACTGGGTTGGACGGTTATGGGTAAAGAAAATGATACTGTCAGGGATAATGCCCTAATAAGTCTTTCCTTACATGTAAATAATGCTTCTTTGAAATCTTTATGGGAGCTTGAAGTTTTGGGTATTTCCGACCCGACGGAAAATAGTAAAACGAAAAATCTTCATTGCGACTACGAGATTGATTTTCAGAATAAATTATCTATTCGGCCCGATGGTAGATATGAATTAGAATTACCCTGGAAATGCGAATCTACCAATTTATCAGATAATAAAAGCATTGCTTTGACACGTCATCAAAAAATGATAAAGAGGGCAAAAGAAAATAATTCTTTGAAGGAATATCAAGAAGTGTTTAGAGAGTGGGAAAATTTAAATATTATAGAAAAGGTTCCGGAAAAGGAATTAAACAATAAATGCCACTTTTTACCACACAGACCGGTTATTAAGATGAATAGTGAAAGCACTAAGGTAAGACCCGTTTTTGATGCTTCATCTTGTGAAAAGGGAAAACCATCTTTGAATCAGTGTTTATTGAAAGGACCTAATTTAATAGAATTAGTCCCTGATATTTTAGACAGAATGAGATTTTTTCCTATTGGTCTGAGTGCAGAAGAGATAGAGATTACTTGCGATTTTTCTATCCAAGTGATGAGGGAGAAATAGTGTATAGGCACTGCAGAGTAGTTTTTGGGGTTTCCTGCAGCCCTTATCTACTAGGTGCGTCTATTAAATATCTCTTGAATAATTGTCCATCTGACTTTTTAGATGTGGCTGACAAATTAAAAAATTCGTTCTATGTAGATAATTGTATTACGGGTGTTTACAATATTGAGGAACAAGAGGATTTAATTCAAAAGGCCAAAAGTCTTATGTCGAGAGGCAGATTTAATTTAAGGGGATGGGAGAGCAATGTTGCTTCCAAATATACTACAAAACATTCTGGGGACACACCTCTTTTAGGAATATTGTGGAATTTAGACAATGATACTTTAAGGTGTAATATAAATGTAAATATGATAACTTGTGATACTAAGGTAACTAAGAGACTGATTCTGTCTATTGTACAATCAATTTTTGATCCAATTGGAATACTTGCACCAATAACTTTGCTTCCAAAACTTTTGTTACAAGAAACATGGAAGTTGAAATTTTCTTGGGACGAGGTATTGCCTCATGATTTTGTAAGTAAATTTTTTGTGTGGTTATCTGATATACTTTTGTTGAAAAATGTGGCAATACCCCGATTCATTGGAACCTTTGCAACAGTTGAATTGCATGTATTTGTCGATGCCTGCAAATATGCTTATGCAGGATGTATTTTCGCGAGAAGTGTTGATTCATGCAGTGTAAAAATTACTCTCTTAAGAGCAAATCTATCTAGTAGCTCTTAAGAGCTAAATTAGAGTAGCTCCTATTAAGAATTTGACGATTCCTAGATTGGAATTAATGTCCTGTTGCATTGGATCCCGATTATTATATTCTGTTTGTAAAGCTCTTAATGATTTTGATATAAATGTAACTTTGTGGTGTGATTCCACAGTCGCATTATGGTGGATCAGAAATCCTGGTAATTGGTCAAACTTTGTAAGCAATCGTGTTAAAGAAATTACTAAGTTGACAAAACCTGAATCATGGAGGCATGTGCCTGGTAATATGAACCCAGCAGATGTGTTATCTCGAGGTTGCTCTGCTAAACAAATGATTAACTCGGAGTGGTTTAAGGGACCTCTCTGGCTAAGAGAAAGCCCTGAATTTTGGCCTACCAATATTGTTTGTCAGCCGAGCGAAGCTGACTTGGAAAAGAGAAGAAGGTAAAACTTATTAATGTTAACTTTTCAGAGGATACCACTCCTTGGTATGCAGAAAGAGTTTCTGATTATGAGAAAATGATTCGTGTAACCGGTTGGGGGTGTTACGTTTTATTTCTAACTGTAGGAAGAAGTCAAATTTGTGTAAAGAATCTAAACTAACTGTTGCTGCTGAAATCATAAATTCCGAAAAAGTTTTGATTCGGTTGGTTCAAAGCTCAAATTTCCCTGACATTGGAGCTCTTAATCCACTTGATGTATTCATTGATAATGAAAAAATTATAAGAGTTAAAACTAGAATATTGGAACGCAAAGACAATTCTGAATTTTTAACACCAATTTTGTTACCGAGTAAATGTATCTTTACTACATTGTTAATTGAGTCAGTTCATAAGAAACATTGTCATGCTGGAACTCAAATGCTTCAATCTATTTTAAGAGAAAGATTCTGGATACTAAAACAACGTAAAACTGTGCGTAATGTGTTAAAAGGGTGTGTAATATGTCAACGATATAAAGCGAAACCGATGTCTTGCGAAGTGACTCCTCTTCCTGAAGATCGCGTAGGAGATTATAGGGCTTTTGAAATTTTGGGAGTAGATTTAGCTGGCCCATTGTTTTTGAAAGACGGTAAGAAGGTTTGGATGGCACTCTTCACATGCGCTGTGTACAGGGCAATCCATCTAGAACTGGTGACTTCGTTATCAACAGAATCTTTTCTTTTGGCTTTAAGACGATTCATAGCCAGACGTGGCAGACCACGAACCATTTATTCTGACAATGGGACTAACTTCCGAGGAACGTATAACGAAATGTCTAAACTTAACTGGGACATAATAGAGAATGAGGCAAAAATAAAGAGAATAGTATGGAAATTCAATCCACCAACAGCCTCCTGGTGGGGAGGTTGGTGGGAACGGCTAGTTCGCATGGTTAAAGAACTTTTAAGACGTTCTTTGGGAAAATCGGTTTTATCTTATGAAGAACTGGAAACCTTAATTTGCGATTGTGAGTCGGTAATTAATTCTCGACCTTTAACATATATTTCGGAGAACTCTGAAGATGCTATCCCTTTAACTCCGTCAATGTTTTTAATTGAAAATTGTACTTCGAATGTAGCAGATATAGATAAAATTGACTCTCAGCATTTTTTGAGAAGAATTAAATACCGCACAAAACTTCTTAAAGATTTAAGGAACCGTTTCCGAAAAGAATATTTGGGGCAATTAATAATGAAACAACCACAAAATAAAGTAACCCGGTTGCCTAAAATTGGGGAGATAGTCTTAATAGGCGATGATTTCAAAAAAACGCTTGTATTGGCCTTTGGGTAAAATTATAGAGAAAATTCCTGGTCGGGATGGCAAAGTTCGAACAGTTAAACTAAAAACTCAGAATGGGATTTTCAAAAGGCCCGTTCAGCGTATTTATCCACTAGAGATACAACTAGGTGAAAATTATTTAGTTGAAGAGCCTAACGTTAACGACGATAAGAAAAACGATCAGACTGACGTACAGCATATAAAACAGAAATTTACGTCGTCGTCAGGACGGCTTGTTAAGAAGCCTAATGTACTAGACCTTTTTAATAGGATAACATATGTTTTTGAGTCGTTTGCCACTGACTCAAAAAGGGGGGAGGATGTTGCATAATCGAGAAAATATTGTTAAGAATTTTATTATTACTATTTTTATTATTATTGTCTATTTTTCAAAAGTGTGTTTTTGTTTTATTATTGTGTGAAGTTGTAACTATATGTCTTTTCTTGTGTGGCAACAACGCTTCTGTAATTCTTCAATTTGAACTTTTGGATGTGTGCCAAGTTTGATGGCGTAATGCTCTGGTGAGAGCGTCGATTGATTGTGTAGATGAAACATGTTGTTTCAGAACGTTATTTCTTTAAAATATGTAAAATAAATGTTTTGTTTTCTGAACTCGGATTATGCAAACGTTATTTAGTTTCAACTATGTTAGTCTTTTTTTGGAGAACTAACCGCCGCATCACTATTGTTTTCATGAATCAAATTTTTATTTTGGTAAAGATTTTTTATACGTCGCTAACCACATAATATAAAAATTTTTTTGGTATCATTATAAATGAATATACAATTATCAGATGCTAACTGTACCAGTCCCAAGTTTTTCTAATTCAGTTTTTATTTTCATATACCATTTCTACCAATTTCTACCCGATTGAGGCAACCCATAAATACTTTTCTTCAATTTACAAACTTTACCTTCTCTAATCAGTTTTTCATAACCAGGTGGAGGAGTCATATACACATGCTTGTTTAAGTCACTGTACAAGTATGCTGATTTTACATCATAAAATTTAACAGTCAAGTTTAATTTAGCTGAAAGTGCAAGCAATAATCTAAAACATTCAATGTTAACTACTGGTGAATATGATTCGGTATAATCAGTATTTTTTATTTGATTGAACCCAGCCGCTACTAATCGTGCTTTATTTATTTTTACTTCCCCAGAGTCTCCTTCCTTCAAAGTATACACCCACTTACTTTTTACTAATTTTGTTTTTTCAGGCCTCTCTACTATTTCCCATACTTTGTGTTTATATAATGAATCTAATTCATTTTCCATTGCGGATTTCCAGTCATACCAATTAGCACTTTGTTTTGCTTCTGAAAAATCATTCGGAACATTGCTGATTATACTTGACTCTAGTTGATTTGATTTGAGCCTCTCGAATCGTCGTAATGGTATTTCATTTCCATATTTATTACCTTTTTCACAGCTATCAGATGTTTGGACTTTATTCCTCCTGTCATCACCCCCGCTACAACGGCTCATGTCGGCGATTTCGAAATTCGATGAGTCATCATATTCGCTTGCTTGAGTATTTTTCGTAACAATTAATTCGAGGTGTAGTTTTTGATCTGCGTCGTTTCCCTTTCCTTTCAATTCTTGGTGCTACTTTGGTAGACGGTTGCACGGATTTTTGGCGATTTACGTTGGCGCAATTGTTGGCGCGATTTCTACAAACGTCAGCCATCTCGAAAAACGCTGTTTTTACGCATAGTAAAGTATTCGAAACTTAAAAAAAAATAATAAATAATAAATAAATAAATATCGTTAGAAATAATGGATTAATTTTTTTGTTTAAAAGGGTTTTCATCCGCAGAGAACCCGTTGGCGCTTCGGGAAAGAATCCGTTGGCGCCGTTGCATTTTTACTTCGCCAACTCGCCAAGCTCGCGGTTCATCGACGATGAGCCGAGCCGTAAATGTGATATTTTGTAAACGTGATTTTTAGTGCATGTAAATTCAAGTTAGCAGACAAAAACAAGCATATGGTAGTAAAAATTCACAGATAATAAGCATGTAGATGTTAAAACTAACAACCGGTTTAAAACGTGATATACGAAAATAAATTTGAATTAAATTCAAGTTAGCACAGAAAAGAATATATTAAAGCATAAGACAATATATAAGCATTTATAACGGAAATAAAAATTCATTTAAAATTATAAAATTAGTATTAATGTATTGAAATTAACCGGTTAAAAACGTGAGAAACGAAAAAAATTTGTCTTAAATTAAAATTCCAATTAACACAGAAAACAATATATTCCTTACATCAGCAGTGGTTTTGCTAATTTTGATGACCATGGTGATGCATCAAACTATTCTGTCATCTTAGATAATCAATAATATTTTTTTATTTCAATTTAAATCATCTATTTATGCACACCTACCATCCTCTGAAAGGTTATTGTTAGAAAAGCATTAACAATATATTATCTTGTTAAAATTTTTAATTACGCCATAAAAATTGATTTATTTCTCATAATTTTAGATGACAATACCAATAATAAAAATAAAAGCATTATTTAATTATTTAAAATGCACATGCATATTTTTTGCGGCCTACGGAAACAAATTATTTTAGAGGTTGGAAACCTCATGGTTCTTAGAGCTGTTAATAATTAAGAACACACAACGTGAACAGCCGTGTTACAAATTAGGGAAGCACTTCCGCAGAGAACCCGGTAAATGTAAACATCGCCAACTTTGGCGATAATAGTTCAAACCTGGTAACCCAGCGGATTTATCCTATTCGCTTGTTCCTCTTGCGTTCATTTTGTTGAATTATCACTGTCGTTGTTCGCATTTGCAGATTTATATTATTCTTCTCTTATTTATTATTATTTTTTCTGAATTTTTTAACAACGAATAGACAGAAATATTTTCGTAGATAGATGCCGGTTCTCGGTTCGGGATGAAAGGAAGAAAATACGGCGGGAAGGGTGAATGCTAATTTGTAACACGGCTGTTCACGTTGTGTTCTTAATTATTAACAGCTCTAAGGGTACTATTCGGTTTCGAGGGCCGTAAAAAATCGCCAAACTATTGTTGATGCCAATGCTGCCAAAAATAATTGCGGCAACCCTAATAATTGCGGCAAGAAAGGAAGTATAACAGTAAATAACTATTTAAGATTGATGTTTTAATTTAGATGAAAGGTTAATTTCATATAATACTTTTTTATTATTATAATTTATATGAAAAAGGCTAATAAATAACTATTTCAGATCATTATTATAATTTATATAAAAATTGCTAAACATAGCTGAATGGATGCCTGCATCGCTATTTCGCTACCGACTTATCGCTGAAACATAATTTCATCTCGTTGGTTGTTCAAACGTAATTTTCTATAATGAATGATGCCTTTTCTTTGAAAATATTCTCGGTAAAGTGCAGAATCGCTCACTTATTTGTTTGCCGCTTTGTACAAGGGTAAAAACAATTGGATTTTTGTCAATTTTTTTTTACTTTTTAAGTGAAAATAGGTCGATATGTACATAGATAAAGGGGTGCACAGTGCCATTTTTGCGGTTACTTTCAGGGAAATATTAGGCAGTTTTTATTGGTTTGCTGATAGAGGGCGAATAGATAATTTACCTTTATAAATCCGCGTTTATATCTATTTAAACTTTCAGAAGATTTATGATGAAGTGAATATATTCAACACAACAGAACGCAAGCTTAAGACTTGTAAATCTTTTAAAAAACAATACATCAATAATTAAAAATATTATTTATAGTTCATCATTAAAAACTTTTTATAAATGCATAGTTATCATATAATTAACAATTCATCCATGCCTTATCTCATTATTTATTATAATTAGAAGAGATATTTTTTACAGTAATGTTTAAAAATTTGCTGTTGTCTTTTAAAAGATTTACAAGTCTTACAATTGTGTTCTGTTGTGTTAAATATATTCTCTTCATCTTAAATCTTCTGAAGTTTAAATAGATAAACGCGGATTATAAAGGTAAATTGCCTATTTACCCTCTATCAGCAAACCGAAAAAACTATCTAATATTTCCCTGTAAGTAATCGTAGAAACTAAGGCAATCCACCTTAGCAATTTTTTGAACTTCCAAATGTAAGCAAACATATAGTCCACTGCCATTGCATTCCTCAGAAAACCATTCTAACCCTCTACTCCCCGATGAAAATAATAGAATCGCCTCTCTCATAGGCTTGGGATGTAGACGCTAGTCGCTCGCCTCTACCCAACAAGGATAAACTATCAGCAGTCTATAACAGCTTGGCCAAAAGTGGAATTGCAACTAGAAGCCAGGTTAATAGACTTGTATCTTTTGGTTACTTAAGCAGTTATGATTAAGTCTTTATTATACTTCTCCTGTCTGTATACCTTAACAGAATGCAAATTAACTTCATGTGTATTTAAGCTGAAGTTTCTAAATCTTTAATTGACAGAGCTTCTGGCAATCAGATCTTGCTGATAGTATTTTTCACCAGTTCTGTTTAAAAATTATATTCCGGCTTTAGCATTATCGCTAGCCTATGCTTTAATGCTTTAAATTCATGTGGGTAAAATATGTGAGCCAGCTTAATGTGTAGTCTTATGTTATCAACATTCAAAGTTAATTGTCTGTTCTGCTAACTTAAAATATCCACACATTATGGAAATTTGTCTGTAGCAAAAGTTGTGCCTTTATGTTCAAACTGAAAGTAAAATACAAGTAGAAAGGTTATTTAAACCTTTGATACTTTACAAGTTGTTCAAGACACAGCTGTAACTTGTTATTTATCTAGTACGGTCTACAGGATTTTAACTTTAGTTCCCAGTTGTATTAGAAAGACTACAGATTCTAATTTAATATTTCATTTGCAAATATTTAAAGTATTATTACATTCTCATGCACAAATAGTAGTTTTGTAAATGTGTTAATTTTTAAACTACCAAGGTCCATGTAAATGAACGTTCAGTTACATTTGCTATTATTAAATTCACTTGGTGTTCCTGGAATCTAAGCTAAGGTCAGGACAATCCTACATTATTCACCATGAGATGATTAAACAGGTTTATCCATTAGGTCTTATAAGCTGAGGTGTCAAAACAATGCTGCAATTTTAAATGCTTTGTTGAGAAGTTGACTTAAACAGCTGAGAATTAAGCATATGTTTGTTAATCTTACATTTTTCTTTCAGAAACTATTGTATATTACACGATAATCCATCTTCTCACCGACCAATAACCACTTTGCAGAACTACTCTGTCCTGAAAAGAAGTTTGTGTACTCTGACATCCCACATGATCTCCAGATTAGTCTCTTACAATTATTTTCACTTCACAAAACTCAAGTTTCCTTTCATAGGAAAGTTATTGCTGTCACGGAAAAGAAAAAAGAAATGCAACATTCCACAATTAGAGCTATGTGAGAAACAGACCTCTACAGGCTTTAATGACCTGGATTATTTCTATTAAGACAGGAGATTTAACAAATGTAAACTCTGCAACATTCCTATCTTTTTAATACACTCTGATTATTTAATTACCCAACTGGGAATATATACTACAATTTTGATTACGTGAACTTCAGTTAAACGGAATGATTGTAACAACTAGAAATCCATTAAGAAGATCCATAGAATAGAAGGTAAGTCAAAGTGAATATCAAAACCTATTATTTGGAACTATGAATCAGTATTAGTTCCAAATAATAGGTTTTGATAAGTCAAATTTTTAATAGTATTTGTTTTTTTGACAGATATGTTCCTTCAGTTTTGGCTTATTGAAACTTGACTATATTTGGATTGATTATCCACTTTTTTTTGCAGATGTGAAAATCTTATCCACGATTTACTAATATCGCAGTGTGTAGTTTCAAACTAAGTTTAGAGTTTGATAGTTTTGATCATACCTCATCTTTTAGTAAAAATATATGTATATAAATTTTATATTCACCCTCTTACTAAGAATATTTCAAACAGCTAGTTTTTCCTCATATTTTTAGAAATTATTTTTAAAAATATTCTCTTTAATATGTCATTTACTAGTCTTTAAAATGATAGGATATACAATATTTGCACCCAATATTAACATCAGATGGCTAGGTGGAACAGGACAAAAGATGGATTCTGTTAACCACAAATGTTTGATAGGTTCTTTATTCTCCATCATTTAGTAAGCACATTTTAACATACTATTGTCCTACGGGTTTTACTTTATGCTTAATTGGCAGTTCAAATATCTAGAAAATGAAAAGCAGTCTCCATAAAAGAGCCGCCCAGATGGAAAAGTATTACTCTGACTGCCGTGCTCAAAGGACCTGGGTTTGAATCCGGGAGAAAGCATGGATACAGTTTGTCCATCCTTTCATAGGAGGCAACCTATTAGGTGCCTCAACAATAAAAAGACCAATGTTTCCGGCCTTAGTAATGGTCAATGTCTAGAAATGGCAAGAGCTCGCCATTGGGAAAAAATTTTTTCTAAAAGATACACCTAAGTGAGTTTAAAGTTTTTAAAGAATATGATAAGAACACAAAATTTATGGAAATAAATTGTCAGAAAAAACTGTATTTGTGTCAATATTGAAAACAAATGTTTCTGAAAAAGGAAATTAGAAGAAAGAATATCAGTTTACGGGTAAACACTTCAAAGAAATTGCTTATTCAAGCAGAAACACCTGGAGGTTCAAATTGCAGCATGTCAAATATTCCAGCGAAGATTCAAAAAAGAGAGAAGAAATAACACTGTGAGGGACACCTGTTTTTTCACTGACGGGCTGCATAAGTTTATATTATGACACTGAACATTATATCATATCACATAAATGGAGAATCACAAGATGTTTCATTCAAATTTATTGAAGATTCATGAATTTATCCACAGTTAAAATGTTTTCAATGTTCATGAAATTAAGATTTTTTCATGTCATGCCTACTCTCTAATGATATTCAGTATCATAGACAAAATTGCTTTGCTATTTTATTCTGATCAATTACCAATGAAGTGGATAGCAAAACCTTTACTCATAAGAATGTCACAGAAAACACACTGTTTCAAAACTGAGTATAGCATATAGCAAATGAAAAATGCAGAATTAATTAGAAATATATCTACATAATCATTAAGGAAGAGAATTCATCATTCAAGAGAATCATTAGGGTTTTCTTGAGGCCATAAATCATTAAGAAGAAAAATTTGTTAAGTATAAATAAAATACTTATTTATTTATTTGCATAAAATTCAATCTTTTTTAAGTTATTTGACTTTTGCGATTTAAAATATGAAATTTTTGAATGTATTTGGAAATGTAGGTAATATTTTCACAAAATAAATATAGAATGAAAAAACTGTGTAAAACGATAGCACAGTGATAAAACATGGAAAATTGTACACATATCACTCTCAGTTAAAATGTAGATAAAACAACTTTCTCATTTACATATCCATTCTACAGCTAATTGAAAGATGTATTTTAATAATTTATATTTGTATTTCAATAATTAATATTATAATTTTTGAAATAAAATATCACAGTTAATTTTTGTTGCATGAGATTCAAACTTCTTGTATTTTCCCTCCCCACAAGTAAAAAACTTTTCCAAGTACAAGAACAGGTTCTGGGAGACTGCATTAAAAGTTTAATTTTCTCATTTGTCGATTTTTTTAAAAAAAATTGATATGGCCAAAAAATGAATAATCATTTAAAACATTTCAGTAATCAGAAGTATATGACTACAGCTAACAACTGCAAAAATAAAGGCTGGGTAAGGGGGTGTGGATATCTTCAGTTAAGCACTACTTATCACCAACTCACACAGAACTTTCATAAAAGTCTCAAAGAAAACAGCCATTCCATCATTCCAATTTATAATTTTGATTATTGCTCATTAGACAATGCCAAACAGCCATACTAAGCAATAATATGTGAATTGCTCACAAATAACATATTTTGTATATTATTGTCTCCTAGCCATATACTTCTGTATCAATATTATCTGTAATTATACCACTTACTCTATGTGCTTGTTATCATGTGATAAGACCACTCTGATTTGTGAATGTTCCATGTGAACTCTATTCCAGAACTTTTAGACTGATATCTCCCTGTGTCTGAACTCTTATCTATCGCCATAACCTTTCTACATCATATGTTGCATTTATATCCTTAATTTTCATTGTTTAGCGAGTCTCCTTATATTACATATTTATTTCAGATGATTTTATAATTTCAAATTCAAATCAGTTTTGATGGAGCTTGGACCCAGAGTCCTACTTCAGTGTTGATGCCATTCTTCAAAGGATATTTAGATAAACTTGTGTTCCATTCAAAGGGAACAAATAAAAACAATGAATTGCAACTGATTGTCCCAGTGAATTTGAGTATTTTACATGACTTGCATCATGCCATCTTGAAATCAGAAAAACAGTTCAGGGAATATGGAAAACTGTTTATTTTCCACAACTACAAAGATTGAACTTTTCCAAGTACAAGAACATTTGCTAATTAATTAACATTAGCTACTGCAGGTGTCTAAGTAGCATAAAAGCAACATTTCCTAAAGAAATCACAGCAACTGAGTTGTTAGGCCTCCTATCCTGGGAGTGGGAAAAAAAAAAAGATTTTATGTTTACTTGTGACAGCTTTTATGTGAGCTTAGAAAAATATACAGTACAAAGTCCGTAATCCGGATGTCCATTATCCAGAATGATCTTTAATCCGGACCTCAAAGCCACAAATTTTGCGCATACATTACGCATGCGTGTAATGCATGCTTTACGCATGCGCGCGTTGAAAGAAATATTTAATAAACTAAACAAATAAATATTAAGCTTTTTCTGGTAAAATTTGATACCCTTTAGATCATAATTGCTCTTTATTTCATAAATTACGGTTTCATATTTTTAATTGTATAATTTCTGCATGCCATCTTACCAGATTTATATTGATGATCTATAATCCGGAATCGCTGAAGTCCCGATGAGTCCGGATTATGGACTTTGTACTGTACTTTTGAAATTAGGCAGCTGATACATCTTATTTTGAATTATTACATGCTTCTCTGGTCCATCAAAACCAGCAAAAACTTCATATATGATCTAGAGACAGTTTTTGAAGCCATCAGAACATCATAATATTTAATTCAAAACTTCCTGCAAGTCATCAAATCAGTAATTCAGGAAAATGGTTACCCCCCCCATCCCAAAAATTTGATCCTTGCAATGATTGTGGATGAAAGAAGACATGCCAGAGAACTAAATCTGTACAGACTGTTAAAAACTTAATCACATTCCAAGGGAAAGATTATGCGACATCATTTCGTTATCCCAAAACTCAATTTCGAAGGAACAGACTATATCAACATGATTTGATGGATAGTTTGGACAGTTGCAGTTTTAATAGTTTGATGGACAATTGCACCTTTGATAGTTTGATGGATAGTTGCAGTATCTCTCCTCCTTCATTATTAAGGAACATTATGGATGAGAACATAAAAAATCTATTAAATACTACCACATCGCTGCTATTGCATTTCCGAAGCTTTGCTTGTCATACGCAGACTGCAGATCAGTATGTCTAACTTGTAATTGAAGCATCTAGAAAGGTCTGTGGCACTGATGCAAGATACAGCTTGATTAGGATGCCATTCCTATCAGGATGTATTAGGCAGAATTTTACCAAAAATCTAACTTTAAGGTGCAGTCTTTTGAATAACAAAATTACAAAAGATTGTTATTTTTACACAAACAAATAATCTGAATCTAAGATTTTAAACTTTTTCTTGCTCCTCAAGCTCTAAAATTCACATTAGGAACAACTGCATTTCAATGGTAAATGGTTTAATAATTATAAAAAAAGACAAAATTTTGTTACTTTTCAAAACTCTTAATCTGATGTGTAAACAGAAGATATATTTTTATATGTAAACTTTTCTTTTCCAAGGGTCCACCAACATAAAAATTTTAAAACATATTTTTTCAGTCTACCCTAATATTGACCTTTTTATATCAAATTCCTCGGAATTCATTTCTCTATGTCTTATTAATATACTTTATTTTTTTTTTTTATTTTTATTTTTTTTTTTAAGATTTTGCAAAGATTTTACACTATTATTCATTGCAAATAATCTTCATTTTTTAGTAATACAATATCTAAAAGCAAAACATCTAGAAATGTTATTGAATATTTGAGCTTAATAAATCTGAAGCCGAAAATGCACCATAGAAGTCTTACACAAGCTATTCCTCATAAGTAGCAATGAATTTGATGTAAATGCCTTATGCTTATTGGAAAATTGTCTAGTAAGATTTCACACTTCTAATAGTTAAGCAACTAGCAAAAATTATTGCTTGCTGATTGAATTACAACAATACTTATATATATATATATATACACACTTATGTAAAATTTAAGCTTCTTCCACCAGCATTAGAAATCAGATTCACTCAACCTTAATTTAAAAAATAATATAAAATTTTGCTTATGACTTTTAAAATGAACATGCTTTATTTTTATTTTTTTGTTACAATAAGAAAATTAGAAAATGTATATTACAATGGTATTTCAGCGAACCACTTTTTACAGCATTCAGGAAAATGATCTCCATACATTAACAGTAAAAAATAACCTATGCCAATTTTACAGTGAACTGTACATTGCGTGGGTTATATCTAGATCTTGAGCTGGATGCTTGGGATGATGTTACAGGATGAGATATACCAAAGTCTGCAATTCTTTCCCCAAGTCTACAAGAAAAAAAAAAAAAAAAAAAAAAAAAAACCATTATTTCTACAAATATCTTTAAAGATAAATTCTTAAGCAGAATACATAATATATCAATTCAAACTGAAACACAAATTTTATACTATTAATGATTATTATGCTAAAATGAACAAATTTTGAATTAAAAACAACTCAATTAAAAAGTGAAAATTTTCCCCTTCAAGCAGTATGAATTTGTAAAGTGTTATTTAAAAATAAACAAGTTACAATTATGAGTACTCTCTTACACAGCATGGCAGATCTAACTGGAAAACAGTACTATTTTATCATTAGAATTTTTTCAACAGCAGGTAATAACTAATAAATAACTAATAATCATACATGGTTAGCATCAAATAACAAACTGCTAAGAATCTAAAATGAATTAAACACTTCAAATACATAAAGGAACATAGAGTATTACCTCTTACTTATATAAAATTATAATTTTTAATTTCAGTTCCTACTTTTTCTTTTAATTCTATTATTTTTGATTTAGCAGCATTTGCACAGATTCATTTCTTTGCTTTTTTAAAATTTTAAGATTCTTTTTGGATTTTTTAAAGTTCTTTTATTCTTTTTGGATTATATATATATATAATTACAATACAATTTGTTAAAATCTAGTATTTTCGTGCATTAAGCTGCTGAAAAATATCAATAAAGAGAAAGTAAGAAATTTAGAACCAATTTTACAAAGACCAAAATTTTAAATACATAAGTATTTTCATAAAATCCAATAAATGCAAAAAAGAATTTAACCAATGTTACAACTAAAAATTCTAAACAAGTAATATCCTAATTAAAAAAGAAATCAACGAAATTTATAGAAAAGAATATAATAGAAGAGGAATTTAATCAACTTCAATGCTACTTGCAGCTTGGATGTACAATCCATAGACCTAAAGCTGTGGTTGTAGCAAATAGTTGTGGTAATGCAAAAGTACCTTTTTAGTGCAGCGATTTCTTTTTCCTTATCACCATTTTTTCCTATTTGAAGATATTTTTTAATGATTGTGAGCTAGATGCAACAGCAGAGTTTGACATTTTATATTTATTACTATTTATATAAATTGTAATATCTGTACATCCATCATGGCTTATTGAAAATTCTGAAGAACATGTATTTCACTGTACATGGGAATCACTTATAGCTTTTTCAATAAAAGGGTATTCCTTCTGTAGGTTTTCATTACATGTACACTTTTTTTTTTAACCCATAACTCAAAAAATTCAATGGTAAAAATAAATAATAAATTAAATTAAATTGCAGTAAAACATACCCTTAGCACGTATGTAATGTGCCACTGATAGTTAAAAATTATATGTCGTTGCCGAATGGGAAACATGATTATACGTCATTGTTTCAACAGATTAAAAAAATTTTTTTTTACCCCTTATACAAAATCAAAATGATGATGGAGTAAAAATTTTACGAGGTAAACGTGACGAAAGATGATTTTAGATGGATACATCTACAATGAAATTTCAGCAAATGTCAAAATAATTATTTTTAAATGCATTCAATGTAATGCACCATTGAACACGTATGTAAATGTACCGTTGATACTTTAAAAATATATGTATATATTATGAACTCAAATCACAATGGAATTAATATACCTGTTAAAAATTTTCAAAGTGAAGGTCAGAACTGCAACTGTGAGCAAAAATTCCATTTATGTTGGAGGGGGAGGTGAAATACAGGAATGAGAAATAGAATTTTCCTACTACATTTTTTCTAAGATAAATGCTAGATGGAGAATCGTCTGTTTATACGGCTGTTATGGTGCGCGTTTCTTAACTAACATTTGTATTCTCAGTTTGCAATCTACACTACTTAAATAAATACAGTCAAATACCGAAAATCGGCCAACCTGAAATCCGCATTGCCTCTAAAAATATAAACATGCAGTTTATAGGTTCCGGAAACCGTAACATTGAGTATGAAATATCGAAGAAAAAATACTTACCAAATAATAATAAGTCATAAGGGAAATACCAAATTATTGACATCATGATAAAAGTTTTTTTTCCCCTCTAATCAGGATCGAACTAAAAAAGCATACGATTCACTTAACTCTTCTTTTAAGTTCACAATTTCCGTTGTTGTATTTTCTGAGCTTTGCTATTTCAAGAGATTATTTAGTGCTGCCTCTTTTTTATCCGGATATTTTGTGGATAAATTCAGATTATTTCAAATTTCACTCCTTTTTAATACAATTACAGATAACAAATGCACTCATGATTTTACTGCTTGCAACGTTGAAAAACGTAAATATGGTGCATTGACGTTAATACAAAAAGTACAAATTCTGCAAAAGATGCAGGCAGATGCTACTCCTCGGTTTATAGCAGAATTGTATGGAATGGCGACACGTTTGTGTATGATATACAGAAAAATAAAGAAAAGGTGTTGAAATTTTACAGCAACAGTAATTCTAACACCGAAATCTGAAACCAGAAATCTTTGCATGAAACGAAATCGACAAACCTCGATGCTGTGTACATATAATGAATAATACAATCAATTTATATATGTAACAATAATTTAATGCATATAATAAGTTATTGCAATAATGTATATAATAATTTAATTAAATGCATCTAATACACCTTATTTATTTTGCACTTTTAGTCTATTATGATTTAACTTTCCTGTCCCTAAATCCGCTAAATTGGCACAACCTCTGGTCCCAAGCTCTGCTGATTTCTGGACTTCCACTGTATATGCATTTAAAATTACACTCTCACACTACTGTTTTTCGGGACAAATGCTATAAATTTGGGACCAAATATGAGTGGTAAATAATTGGGACTAAAACTGAAAATTCGGGACTGTCCTGGGAAATTCAGGACATATGGTCACCTTAATAATATGGATTTATTATTTCGTTTCCTTGTTACAGTTATTTTTCAAATCTTTTTGTTACTTTATTTTATAATATTTAATTAGATTTTGCCATTCCCTCTCTCACTCAAAAGATTATCTATGTAAGAATGACAATAAATTATGCACAGTATAGAATGTTTCAAGAAGTACAAGATGCAGTAAAATAGCTTGCAATTTCTCTGTGGCTTTTTCTAAAAAAAACCCACATTTTTCAAACTGTGCAGACAGCGCTTCCCATGTATTTACTACGATATGCATATTCCCATGTATTTACTACGATATGCGATATGCATATTATATTAATAATTATTACTATATTATATTAATAATTATTAATATAATAGTTAGCAAAGATTTGGACTTAGTTATCTCCATTGAAGTGTTTGCATTTTCACAAGATTCAGTTTTATTCATCTTTTTGGTAGTTGAAATTTGAAAGCTTTTACAATGCCTTGGTCTAAAGGCTGAAAGACAGAAGTTGCATTTGTAAGAAGAGACATTAATTTAATGTTTTTCAGTATGATATTAGAGGGCTGTGCAGCACAGTTTGTGTGCACTCTAACAGTAAAGCTAATTAAAGTCCTCTGTTTCATTTAAAATAAGAAATGAGTAAAAATACAGCTTGTCATCCATGTTATCATTTAAGTTCTTATTATGGTATGGTAAGTTAAAAAATAAATTCTTGACTCATTTTAAACATCAAGGTTTTCTATTTTTTTCAATAAGCAATGGTGTCATCTTAACTGTTGCATCGATATTGGACATCCATAATACAGTAACTTATTCTATTAATTTCTTAAAACCAGTTACTGCTTCACTTTTAAACATATACTTTTAATACATATCACTTTTAAATATGTGCTCTGTAACATTCCTCACCATGTAGTTTCTGATTAACTGCCCCTTGCTCCTCACCTTGTAGTTTCTGATAAACAATGTTATTTCGCTTTCCATCTATTGAGCCATCCATGAACTGCCACAAAATTTTCTAGCATTTTTAGCAAATTCTACATCTTCTGTGGTCAAAAGAGTTCTAGAAATTGGAACATAGCTTGAAAGCATTCCAAAAGAGGGGTTTCAACATTTCTGAGTTTACCATCTCTTTTGCACTTCCTTGAGACATTAGCACTTTTTATTAGTTCTTTATAATTTTTTTTTTTATTATTTTTGTTTAAGTAAACTGCACATTTCTCTTTAGGGAATTCTTATTCTGCATTTACCAAACGTATCATAATCTTTCAGAAATTTAATCCTTTTTTCAGGATTAAATAATTTTGTTTAGACATTTTTGACATGTTACGAGTCATGCACATGGCAGATAAAAAATGTTTCTTCCAGCAATTTGCTCAAATCTAAAATTCCCCTTTCTAGTCAGCACAAAACTGCACTTCGTCTGTCAAGTCAACCTGTCACTTCGTAGTTATTACAGCATAACCAATCATTTCTTTTTCTTCAGCCCACAAAGACCACTCTTTTACCAATCAATGAACGATACGAATGTACGATAATGAAAGGTGATGTTTTTCTGAGAACACCCTGGAAACTTATTGCGTGTATGCACTTGCATCTCATATCAGTGTTTGAGGGAAGGGAACCAGTGCTCAATTAAACAGCACCTTTTTCTTTTTAACCCTTGGAAACACTCACTCATTTTCAATTAAAGCACTTATTTGCAATGCCTCTAGAAGACTGCTTTTGTTAATTATAAAATAAAGGTATTCTGTCATTTTCAGCTTTAGTCCAGAAGTCATTTTGCTTTTGGTTTTTAACCAGATTACGACTCTGCATTCGGTACAGTATTGGATACTATCAGTATCGCACCTCATTCAATGACCATGTAAGATAAGTTATTTTTCCCCCTTTTTTTACAAGTTTGGTTTTTCTCATTGCATCATTATGTCGTAATAAAAGAAAAAGATAAGATTAAAAAAAATAATAGAGGTAGAGCGAAAGCTGCTCTTAATAGAATTTCATATTTCATTAATGATGATAAACAATTATTCAAAAAACACGATTTGATGAATCAACTTTAAAAAATTGTAAACATCTATTTTTATTTTGACAAGGCAGACACAGAACTTGCCCTGGAAA